TCTCCCCAGGCTGTGACTGAGGAAGGCTCACAACTAGAAATGTTACCTCTGCAGTGTAGGAACCACAACGTTCGGCCCTGGCCTGGCTTTCTTTTTTCAGGACAGTTCTTATTATCCATAATAGCTGCTAAGTTAGGGTGCCTGGCTGGTTTTAAAAGAAGTCATTTCAGCCAAGAAGACAGTGGAATGAAAAAAAACCATCTGACTGCAGAAATAAGGGAAGGTATTTTTATCTTGCAATGTCCTAATCCCATGACTAGTAATTTCCTTCTGTGGAACAGTGATGAGAACAGACAATGAGATAAATAACTGAGGTGGGACAGTACTTCAGCAGTTCTCTAGTATCATGAATTTTCTTGGATAAAAACTGATTATTGTGCAAAGAAAACGGGGTATTAACTGGTATCCCTCAGAACATCACCTCTCAGTCACACAAGCTCACGTAAAGAACCTGTTGAAAATGGTGGAGAATGCTGCTTCTAACCCCGTATGTTCAATAGGTGCTGCATAAAGTGTGTATTTTCAAATGTGTATTTCATAGGCATCCACGTGGTCTATGATCTCTCCAGAGCCCCGGGAAGCAGAGTTGTCAGCTTAGATGTGCTCTGCACAGCCTGCCGTGTGCCAGCCTACGTCCCACTCCAGATGGATGAAATATACAACGTGACTCTTCCGTCCTATATGTTATTTGGAGGAGATGGCTATCATATGCTGAAAGACAAAAATCGGGGATACAGTAAAGGTAAGGATGGGCTCCAACAGGGTAGCAGACAAACAATTCCTAAAAGTTAAAATACCTTTTTGTAGTACAATAAGTCTCAAGACTTTTTGCTTTTACTGAATAGATTAAATTTTCTTCTCATCTGACTTCTCTGGATTACTAGTTTTGGTTGTGGCCAGCAACTAGATTCTTTTTCAGTTAAATAATGACAATTTTAAAGAGAAACTAAGCCTTGTCAACTCAGCACTGCTTAAAAAGCAGTTCTGAGATTACAGTAAACCAGGAAAAAAAGCAAAAAGCTTGCTATAGAGAGCATGTTACATGTACTGCCTTGCACATGTACTTACTACTAAATGCATCCAAAATAAAGGTGCTATTTTATTTACATCTCAAACTTCCACTATATGGAAGTACTTGCAAACACAGAATTGTCACCTCTCCTGCTAAGGGACACGCAGCTCAGGTGAGCAACACAGAAGGCCAGGGGAAAGATGCCGCCTTGCTGTGCGGCAATTAGACCGCCCAGGGTGCCGACAGACACCACGCGGGAGAGGCAGAAAGGAAGAGTTTTCTAACGCTGTCTTAACATCCTTTAAAGCAGCATCCAAACTGTTAGAAATTCAGCATTCATACAACTGGCATGTACATTTTTTAGGACAAAGTGAAAGTTGAAAAAAGTGTTTGAGATTGAAATTATTTCTGAAAACACAAAAAGGATGTTGTGCTATATTTAAAAAAGAAAAAGTATCTTCTAGGAGCACAGCTACATCTTGTAGAACTTTAATTCTGCTTCTGGATGGTAAAAGCATGCCTTTAAAAAAAGATTTATTTTGGACTTTCATTATAGACTTTTCTTTTGGGTTCTACAGGGTGTTTCACTTTAACATCGATTCTCACAAGTGGGCTTGGGTTTTTGAATCAAATTCAGCATACTGCTTGTAAATTGGGGACAGAGGGGCAAGGGGCTGTAGTTTTCATTAAACACCTGTTTATGTAGAAATAAATTCATAGAGAGAAATATCATTAGGAATAATGAAAGGGAACAACTTGAAAGGTTCTAGTAGTCCAGTATAGCATAGGAGCAAAACTGGAATTACTTTTAAGATGGAGGTGCTGCACTTCAGGACTGTAAGAGGTTGTATCAGAAAGGAATTGTATGATATTGTTGGCTACAGTGACTCAAGGGGGTTTTCCACTGTAGAAAATCCACATTGTATTTTGTGTGCATGCAGCAGTGCACAGGCTAGAAATACTTCCTAAAAAACCTACAGTTACGGTTGAAAAGGTTTAAGTGATGCTTTGGCAGATCTATAGGACTCTACTCCAAACAGGTGGGAGACTGTCTCAGTCTATCTAAATCTGACTGGAGTTACCTCTCTAACAGAAAGATGCAAACAAACAAAAAAGCCAGACAGTGCAGACAGACCTTTTTTTTTTTTTTCCCTCTCCTTTTCTTTCCCCTCAGCAAAATACGAATTGCTACCAAAAATTCAGGCTACAAACCACCACTGATGTTTTTATCCGTGCACAAGAAACAACTCTCCACCGCCCTACACTGTCTTGATGGCAGGCTCCCATTCGGAATGACAAACCCTAGAAAACAGTTTGCTGTAAGACTTGAACTAAAGCTGCAGTTTTAGACAGGTTCTTACAGGCTGCTGCAGAAAACACTGTATCTTTTTGTTTGTCTGTTTGTTCAGGTGAACCTGATATTGAGGTCGTTTCTCGTTACCTCCAGAGAATGAAGAGAGTTTACCCAGCAGTTGAAGGTCGAATAAAGTTTTCTTCTGGAAGGCTTCTTGAAGGAAGTCTTACCTTGATTTCTCTATTGTTCACTCTAACATTGTTGCACACTTGATTTTTGCTCACGCTGTTTTTATTTAGAGGAAGGCAGGAGGAGGGATGGTGCTGACAAAGGGAAGAGAGAACTGTTCTCTTTTCTTACTCCTGAAAATGAATGGGCGTTTAGGTTGCTGCATGTCAACAGTAAGCAGCAGAAGCCATTGTCTTGTGAAGCACATGGTGCAGAATGAGAGGGCAGAATTCACAACTTCTCTTAGTTTGAATCAGCAGGTACAAACAAACTTGTATAACCCACAATTTAATTTGATGTTTCAAAGTATCAGTGAATACTAATGCTCCATCATAAAACAACAACTGACCAAAATGGGACATATTTAACTTGTCAAATTATTTTAGCTGCTTTAGATAGTGATTGATTAAGAATCTGATTCCAGTAATGTAAACAAGCTTCTAGAAATTGATTTAAGTGTATATACCTTTCTTTGATCTCTACTCAGGGTTAAAGCTTTCACTCTAGTAATTCTACTTTGCTTCCAGTCATACTTACCATACCTACAGCAGTGCCTGAAAGAGCTGGATTAAACTCAGTGTCATTAAAAGTACGAGGTCCATGCTATTAAAAAAAGTTTTTCCATTTTTCTTTTGAAGACTCAGCTTTATTAAATTGGCAGCTCAGTTTGATTTTGATCAATTTAACAAATTGAGTATATATACTTCACTATTTAATATGACCAGTTTGTGGACTATATCTAGAGTGAGAACACAATTCTGTTTCTAAATATGCTCAATTTTACACCTTTTTCCAAAGACCAAAGCACAGAACTCCTGACTTTGTATCAGCAATGTTGAGAGCGAATGTGGATACACACATTGACTCCTGCAGCACTGTGGCAACATTTGGAAACTGCCCAATAATGGTGCTGTTTACATCATAATTCTGATCGTGACTCAGAAGCCTGTCTCCTCCCTGGGAAGGCTGTGTCTGAAAAACACACAGTTGTAAGAGGCAGGCTAATGAGTATAAAAATCAGAACTGGGATTAAGTGCTAGGTGCACATTTCTGACACTTTTATCAAGAAGTGATTGCTTATAAATGAGTGTGAACAACCATTATTTTTCCAAGACTGTAAACATTTGGAATTTTAATATCAGCATGTTTCCATGTTGTTTATTCCTGTATTAAATTGATTCTCGGTGTTTTGAATAAATCTGCTTTGTTTTTCTGGAAAGCACACTACGCTCTTTTTCAGACTCAAGCTCCTTGCCTCTTAAATTCACTGCCCCTGCAGCTTTCAAGGAGAAGGGGCAATACGGTGAACATTCCGTATGCTTAAATTTCAAGACCTCATTAGTTTCTACATAAATTTGAGGGTTGCACATGAAAAGATCTGGACTACAGAGCTGCATTAGGTAAGCTGTAGGGAGACAAACAACAACTGACCTTGAGACACTGCTAGTTAGAACATGGCATTGATGATTTGTCAATACCAGCCCCTAAAATTACTAATTTACAGAACGGTCTTCCTCAAATCAGCACAAAACCAGTTACAGAGACTGCACTTGTGGACTGAGTTGTACCTGCCTACCAATTTTTAAAGAATTATAACAACTCCTTTGGCATCCCCAGAGAGAAAGAACTCTTTTGCATACATTTTCCTCCTGTTTGTCAAAAGAAGTAAAAGTAAAACAGGTAATGCACATTGTATTGACAAAAAATGCTGGTACTGCAGTGGACTGGCTTGTTTGGAAAAGGGGTCTTGTCTGTGAAGAAAAAAATCAGGGAATGCCTAGTAAAAGATCTCTGTATTGTGCTGTGAGTAAAACTTGTTAAAAATCCACAGGTGAAAGCCCTTTTCAGAGGCTCTTTTATAAAGGCTGGGCCAACAAATTAAGATTTACAGGAAAAAATCTTCCACACATTTTTATACTAATAAATTTTCAGAAAATGCTGTGAACAGACACATCCTCTTTTCTAAGTGTGTAAAGAGGATGTCAGAAAAAACCCGACAAACTCAGATAAGAAGTCACAGAAAAATAAAGGCTAAGGTAGAAGTCAAAACCACTTTTCACATCCATTATTTTAAGAGTGCTTTAGATTTGAAGGTCAGATATTAAATAAACCAAATTACACAGGATTTTCATGCTCACAGAAAGCACGAAGGCCAAAGATAGTTCTGCAATGATTTGTATGTAACAGATTCAACCATGTAATTTTGTTTTAAAAAAATTAGTAAGATTTGTTAAGACAGTTAAAAATAACTTCATGGGAGCATTATACAACTTCTTCCAAATGATTTTTCTACACATCCTTTAAGGAAGACAACAGTAATTGCTCTTTTAGCAAAGCATATGTTGGCTGGTCTCCCAGCCATCTTACTTTATGTCTGTAAGTTCACAAACAGATTCTGGGGAAATTGATTTGACTTTTACTGATAACAGCTAAAACAAATTTCAAATAAAAAGTACAGATATATTATTTACTTGTAATTTGTATTAATTTTTAATGTCTTTATTGCATAAAGATATTTTTTAGAACTTAAATCTTATGTTATTTACAAGAAAATATACAATGCAAGGTTAAAGTGTCACGTCCATTGCAACAGTGCACAGCAGATGTTTCTACTGGGTGTCCAGCAAGGTCCCTGCGTTCACATCCAACATGACACAGAGCTGGCTTCCTTCAGACCCTGTCAAACAGCAATGCAGAGAAAAACTGACTTACTAAGTATGAAAATGCATATTTATGTATAAATGACTGAACTGAGCTGCAATGATTAATGGTATTTGGAAACACTCACTCGAAACCAGAGTTAAAGAGAAAAGGCAGCTACTCCTTTCAGGTTTTTAATACTATTTGTCAAAATAGGTATTTTGCTTCTTTCTCTGGAAGTTCTCACCTCCCCCATTCCTAACTGCTAAATAAATTTTCTTCTGTATTTTTCTGCTCTGGAAATGGCACTGGGATCATATTTTTTCAGCTGGATTTCCTTCCTTCCTCTGCTAGGAATGCTTCTCCTGTCTCAGCTGTCCCTTTCCTTGTATCATGTCTGACAGACTCCCAAGGGACTGGCTGTACCAAAGGCAAACTCACATACTAGGTGTTTTTCAGCTCTTACCCTTAGAACTTGTTCACTTACACATGAAGCTGCCATTGAACAATGAGGGTGACAGAGCACTGGAACAGGCTGCCCAGGGAGGTTGTGGAGTCTCCTTCTCTGGAGACATTCAAGACCCACCTGGACGCCTTCCTGTGTAATTTCATTTAGGTTCCTGCTCCGGCAGGGGGATTGGACTAGATGATCTTTCGAGGTCCCTTCCAATCCCTGACATTCTGTGATGCTGGACCTGAGGATCCAGTACATACCTGCATCGGTATGTGTGGCAGCATATACCTTCAGTATATCGGATCTCAAGCAGGAAGCAGACTGACATTCCCACTAACACGAATTTTCCCATTTCTCCCACTGCTGTCCCCCCTGCCCAAGGAGCAGCGCTCAAACCAAAACCTGCAGGATACTCAGTTTTCCCTTTTGCTGACCAACCTGAAGTATTTTTCCGTTCTTCACTGTAACTACAAACACATTTTGCTATCTAGCAACTCAAAAAGGACCAGTCTCTGCTGAACAGAGAACAGTCACGGGAGCGATTTGCCCGTCTCCCCAGTATAACTGTTAGTAACTAAGCAAGAACCAGTCATTAAACTTCCCCATTACAATTGTTTGGGGGAAACAATTCTCTTCCCAAGTGGCTTCGCAGTCAGTTTGCAGTGATTTGGGGGGATTTTATTCATTCACTTATTTATTTTTAGGGCTCCAGATGAAAGCCACTGCCCTCCACCCATTCCCTCTTCACCCTGCATGTCCCTTCTCATGGTGACGATCCCTCCTCAGCTGCCTCACTCGATCCATCGCAGCCCCAGTACGCTCACACCAGTCCCACTGTCAGACATCACCGAAGCAGTGAGTCCTCTGTTCTCTGTTACTCTCAGTGCTCCCACAATAAGGAAAACAGCTGGAGTTCTGATTGGAGTATTTTCTTTTCCTTTCCCCTACTAGCCAGCAAATTCCCTCGCTCTGTTCCCATCAGAGGGGACAGGGGGAGCCCAGTCCTCAACTCTGCTGTTTCATTAGGATGAAAGGTCTCTTTAGAGGTCCCTCCTCAGCAAGTGGGTTTCTGATACACTGCAGAGCACTCGCACAGTGTCACACAGTTATAGGGAATGAAAGAATGAATTAAGAAGTTGTAAAAACCTTCATCCAAATTTAAATTAAATAAATCTTTTTCTTTTTTTTTTTCAAAGAAAAAAAATATATATACTTTACCCTATCAAATATGCACACTGTTATGGAATCACAGACTGGCTGAGGTTGGCAGGGACCCCTGGAGGCCATCTGGTCCACCCACCCTGTTCCAGCAGGGCCACTATACAGCTGGTTGCCCAGGACCATGCCCAGGTAGCTTCTGAGTATCTCCAAGGATAGGATAAGATAGAATCAAATCAAATCATAGTGGCTGGAAAAGACCTTTAAGATCGAGTCCAACCATAAACATAACACTACCAATTCCACATCTAAACCATGTCACTAAACATCTTGTCTACTTGTCTTTTAAATACCACCAGGGAAGGTGACTCCACCACTGTCCTGGGCAGCCTGTTCCAATACTTAACAACCCTTTCAGTGAAGAAGTTTTTCCTCATATCCAATCTAAATCTCCCCCGGCATAAACTGAGGCCATTTCCTCTCGTTCTACTTATAATAATCACTATATTCAAAAAAAATCTCAGAAAAGATGTAAATAGGTTGGTGACAGTTTGCTGACAATCCTTCATTATTCAGGGCAGTCAAAGCTAATTCTAAATGTGAATATTTGTGGGAGAGATGTCATGATATTGGATTAGCAGGTGATGAATTTAATACTGATGAATGCAAAATAATGTAGATGAGGAAAAAACTATGCATAGGTGGTCACGCACTCAAAAGTAGTCATTAGCATCCAGGAAAGAGATGCTGAATCTTTGTGAGTAGCTGGAATGGGAACCTCAGCTCTGCATACAACAGTCATTAAAAAAGGCCAATAAAATGTTAGGGAAACAAATGAGAATAAAGAAAAAATATCATTATACCATGTGCATGGTGATGTTGTGTACTTAATGATATCCCTGGAGAGGGAACCTCCTGTGTTTCAGTTTGTGCCCGCGGCCTCTGGTCCTGTCACTGGGCATCCACACCTTCCTTGGGCAACCTGTTCCGGTGTCTGACCACCCTCACAGTGAAGAACTTCTTCCTAATATCTAATCTAAACCTGCCCTCTTCCAGTTTAAACCCATTTCCCCTTGTTCTATCATTAACCACCCTTACGAAAAGTCCCTCCCCAGCTTTCCTGCAGGCCCCTTCAGGCATTGGAAGGCCACTGTAAGATCTCCCCGGACAAATGGGCCGAAACTGATTTGGAAAGAGCTAACTAACAAAAATTTAAAGAATCAAGATTTCAATTATTTCAACACATCAGTAAAATATAGATTCTCCCTGAAATTTAAAATTAGTATTATAAGGAAACCACCAATGACCAGAATCACTAGTAGCTTGAAGAATTCTGCAGCTCTGGAACAGGGTTAGCACATACCTTACTCAGCTCTGGAAAGAGTTCTTGGATCCCAATGTCCAGCAGAACATAAGTTAACTAAAAGAAAATAAAGAAACTTTAAAACACTCCAAGGCAACACTACTGCTTTTTATTTTCAACTCTGAATTGGAGCTCGCTCATGTGCTACAGCCATACATCCACTTCAGGAAATCTTGTGCCAAAAGGCAAGTTTCTCACGTGTTGCAAGTTACCTGTTTGTTGAGCACTGGTTGCTGCATTCCATCAAAGAGAAGCCTGATGCCTTCATATTTAGCCTCTTCCCCAATGCACTTGCCTATTAAATCTAGACCAGATACCAACAAGAAATACACAAGTCGTTAGGAAGCACTGCAAAACATCTACATGATATAGTTACAGTACTCCAGTAATTAAAAGTTTAAATTAAGAGTTCAAATTTCATCTGTCTAAAGTGGTCAACGGAAAAACAAACGCTCCTTTTGTTCCTCCTTTTTTTCCTCTCTTTCCTTCAGAGCTATATACTTAAGTAATTATTAAACTTTTCATATCAATGTATTGTCCTAATGCATTGTTTAATAAACCACAAACTGAAATTTTTAAATTACTTTCTGAATAACCTAGCAAATGGGTCCCTCTTCTCTAGTTTATACAGTGTGAGCAGAGCTCAGATTTATCTTCTGGCTTCACGGTGTGCCTTTTTAAAACCATTTTTCATCTAGATAAAAAACAAACCATAGGAGCATTCTAAGGATGAAGAAATTATGGTATTAAGTACATTTGTAAAGCCCTAGTTCCATCTATCGTTATTAATCACTATGCTGCAACCTTAGTTAACCATACTTAAGGAAAAAGATTGAATTTTTTTTTACACCTAGTATTCAACTCAACTAAAATCTCAGCAGTGTAAGTTATTATTTGATTTGGAAAGCTAATGTGACTGTACTTGGGTTATGTATCTGCTTGAATGATTAACCATACTCATATAGAGAGTAATGAAATACAGAACCTGGAATGTATCTCATCATCTCTTCAAAAGTCTGCTTTGCTCGCTTCTGTTTGTCCTGCAGAGAGCGAGGTTCGGTGTTCTCACAAAACACGGCATCTGCAGGGAAGAAACATCGTAAACAAAAAAAGTCTCCAGGCTGCTATGTGCCACTGACATATAAAACATGTTTTGGATTTGCTTTTCTGTATCATCTTGCTTGGAAGGGAATTCCAGCCTTGCCAGGTAATAGTCTTTTGCTTACATTAGCCTGATCAAATCCAGAATACCCCACCTGTGTGGAGGACAATCTTTTGCCAATTTGTTTCCATTCTTTTCAGCTTTTTAAAGCATTATCTTCTAGGTTTGGATCAATTCTACTTTAGGTTAGTTATGATCTCCTTACTTACAGTTTCCCTTATCCTTCTTATCCTTTCAAAACTATAAGCATTATTTATGCCTCGTGCTAAAACACTCTCTGGAACTGTCAAACATTTCAGATTTACCTATGAATGAGAAAACAAGAGCTGTACATCAGAAATATGAGGCACTCAGTTTTGGTTTTAGACTCCTTTCCTATTTTGGTATTTCACAAGCTTGTATTTTGGCGTGATAAGGACAGAGCTGTCTTGGTTCCAGAGCTTTGGCCAGATGTGTTGTTTAGATCAGACTGTAGTCAGGTAATAGTTCTCTACAGTTATCAGATAATTTTTAAATAAGTTTTTTTTAACCTCTCTCCCCTTCTCTCATTTGAAGGTCAAAATCATTTAAGCCCTCTCAAAAGCCCACTACAACAGAGGGAACAAAAAAAATTAACTATAACGGGCTGTGATGTAGCACACAATGAAGAGTAATTTAAAAATTGCATGAAATATTCGCGCTCTGATATACTAAACCACCTTTATTCTGTTTTTCTTGTTCTTTGCACACCTTAGGAAATTACTGTTCATAATACTTTTTTTCTGTAATTGTCATTGACAGACAGCATGGCCGACTCAGCATTGTTCAGCAACGAGCTGAGATCTTATAGCGGCCTTCCAATACCTGAAGGGGCTACAAGAAAGCTGGGGAGGGACTTTTCATAAGGGCAGTTAATGACAGAACAAGGGGAAATGGGTTTAAGCTGAAAGAGGGTAAGTTTAGATTAGATATTAAGAAGAAGTTCTTCACTGTGAGGGTGGTCAGACACTGGAACAGGTTGCCCAAGGAAGTTGTGGATGCCCCCTCCCTGGAAGTGTTTAAGGCCAGGCTGGATGAGGCTTTGAGCGCCCTGATCTAGTGGAAGGTGTCCCTGCTGATGGCAGGGGGGTTGGAACTAGATGATCTTTAAGGTCCCTTCCAACCCAAACCATTCTATGATTCTATGATTCTGGAATGTTTTTATAGGCCCACTTCATTTTTAAAAAGCCATTAGATTTAGTCAAGCACTGCAAAGTTTAGTACTTGGAAACTTAACAGAAGAGATTTCCAATATCAAACTAAAGCAGTATTTTCACATCAAAGACACAATTTTTACTCACCTCTCAGCAGTGTTATCAGAGAAACCAACCGATGCTCCTGAAACAGCTGTTCTAACTTATAATGCAAGTAATAGTCTGTGTACAGTTCCAAAGTATTTTTGAAGAGAATTCTTCCTCCCATCAAGAGGTGATGAAGCCAGTCAGGAATGTGGAAAACAACCCTACCTGCAAAGTTACAGTAACACACATTTATAGTGTTCTCCTAATAATGATGATAAGGGAGTGACTTATTGAAAAGAAAAAAAAAAAGGAAACCAAACAAATAAAAGACCACAAACAAGCAAATATTATTTTAGTTTTCTTAGTGTAATGCTGAAAAATCACTATTCTCCAGACTGCTTATCAAATACTTGCTTTACCTATTTTTATTAATTAGTTCCCACAGTGTACAAGCAGCCCAGGCACATCTCAGAAAAGGGAAGGGACCTACTCCCATAAGCTCATACACTGAGACGCAGAGAGAGAGATATAACAAAACAATTGAGCACTAATAAATGATAAATTATGATATTTTAGCACAGCAATAATTTTTTTTAAAGAATAACTGTGTTCTTAAGTCGTATATTGTTAAGCTTGCAAGTGCTGAATTATATATGATTACAAGAGAATTTTATTTCTCACCGAAGAACCAAAACTTTGTATTGGGTGTGGAAAAGTAAGAATAATTAAGAGAAATCACTTCTTACCAACATACATTAAGTAGTCATAGACTCCTTCTACAGTCATCATTTCCATGAAGTAGTTCTGATTTTGTCGTCTTTCTGTATTCTCAGACCGGTTTGCATTATTCTTGAATAAATCATTGAAAAGCTAAAACCAGAAACATAAGACTGAAAACACTGCACTCAAAGGCAAAGGGATATCCACCCATTCTTTGGGGCTGCTTTTTTGTTGTTTGTTTGTTTTTAAACTCTTCACTTTCCAAAGCGGGGGAAATAAAGAGCATGTCACATGTTGCCAATATACCCAGCAACCAAAATACCTGGATTCAGAACAAATCAGCAGGGCAACCTAGACATTAATTCATGAGCCCTTCTGCTCCTGATATCTTCATGTATCTAGACTTTTACCACAGGCATTGATTCCTTTGATGCACCCTGTTCTGTCAATGAGGGGCATAAAGGATATGGAGTTTCTCAGCCTTAAATCACAGAGGAACCTGACAACAACCAAGTGTTCCTAAAATTTCCTGTTGGCTTCCATTTTGTAAGAAATACAATGGTTTCTGGAGAAAATATCCAACTTTTTACACAGAGAAATCCCTTTTTCCCTGTCAGCTTGATTATTTATAGCAAAAACTTAACAAGTCTTTGTGAGTTACCAAAATTTGGGTTTCTTTCAATTCATCTCATTTTATTCCTTTATCTTTCTATTTTCCCATGTTTCCCCATGATACCTCCATTTCCTTGCCTTTGGTTCTTCCCCAGAGGTTATCAATATAATACTCGTAAAATCCCAAGAGGCTCATCCCTGTATCCCATAAAGAGTCCCATACCACCTAGGCAGTACTCCTTCCCGCCCCCTGTAAATCTGTGGGCTCCAGCAGCTGGAAAGGAAGAGTTCCCTGAATCCTGAGGCTCTCCACATTTGACAATACCTAGCAATCTCCATCAACAGTTTATTTTAAATTATCTTATCCTCAAAACTGCTGATCTAAAGATAAAAAAGAATTTATTCAAAATACTCTGTGAAAAGAGAGTGCAAAAGTTTATGCCAAGTTTCTAAAAAAAATCCCAGAACTAGAAGCAAATTGAACATAATTATAGTGTTGCCTAGGTTGAGATGATTGCTACTGACACATATTTTTCTGTATCACTCTCAAATTAAAAATAGTTTCAAGGAATGGGAAGTAATTTGCTTATACGTGGTTCACTTTCTATTGAGCAATTGTCCCTGAAATAAATAAGGCCATAAAACATCCAAATCACAACAGGCTCTGAATCGTGCAAGTCTCTAAACAGAATGCTCTGCACTCTTAGGGAAAGTTACATCAGGAAATCTGTCAGGACTCAGGTTTTGACCTGTACTTCTTTAGGTCCTCTGTTTTGTTAAGTGCTGAACTGCTGGCATTACCTTCACAAAGTTCACTCAAACTAAACAACACCAAGTTATTACATAAATTACATGAAAGAACAAACATGGTTAATGCACTGGTGGATGACTGGCATCCAGGAAAGTATCAAACTTAAAAAGAACACGTAATTATTCAGGTCTACTGTATGAAAGCATCTCTGGTATGTTGTTTAAAAAAACCTGTATAAACTTAAGTCTATATCCTCCTCAATACTGAAACTAGAACACGGAAAATCTTAGTTACATTATTATAACTTAAACAAGAACCTCATTTATTTTTTAGATACACTCCACGACCTGACAGAGGCAATACATACTGAGCCAACTCAAAGCAGCTCATCATGCACTGCAGATAAAGGTTCAGAGGAGTGTGTACAGGCCAAACAAATCATTAACAGCACTCTGGTAGGTGATCTATTAAAAAAAAAAAAAAAATCAAACATGAAGGCCATCTTAGGGCAAAGCTTTTTGAATTCCAGAAGTTATTTCAACTTTCACCCCAAACCAGAAGCAGTATCTTTTAAATGTTGTATGTTCCTCTGCACATGGATAATCTGTCTTGCACGTTAAATATAACGATCCTTTGATCACTGCCAAGCTTTGAAAGCTTGGACTCTTGCACATGGCATTTCAGAAAGCAACAGCAGATCAATGCACGCCAAAATTACTGAGCCAATGAGCAACTTTTATAAAGAATGCACTCTGCACTATTTCAGTGCAAGCACGTATTCTATAGTCATTAGCAATGCACATCTGAAGGATGTAGCAGCCACAACACAAAGTGGCATTATGATTCTACTTAGAAAGTGGTTTTTGGATCAGAGGAATGCCAAGTGAAAAACACACAACTGGATATCTAAACAAAAATTGGGATGATATTCACCATTCAGATAAGCATGGGATTTTGCTTTTAAATGTTTCTGCGCATGTTTAATATTTGAGATGCGATATAATGGGCACTGTTGTAATTAAAATTTAAAAAAAAAGACAAGCAAGACAAACTCCAGTGCTATCATTATTCATACCTGTAAGATTAAACAGTAACTGTGATTATAACCATGAAATATTCTTAAAAGGCTTTAAATAAGGAAATTCCACAGATTGGTACTGGTTAATAATGGAAGCCAAGCTCTTGAAGCAAGTGAAAGATAAAAGGCCTGTACTAAGAAAACAACCAAAGTAATCCCTTGTACAACAGGTTATCTATTGTACCTCGATGGGAAGAGCTAGCAAAATAAATATGAATGCTTACATAAAGTGCCTAACAGAAAAAAAGAAAGTTACTCAATGGTTAGCGAATGCATCTGCAAATACACGCCCATACATTCCAGCACAGGTGTGAAGTTTACAGAAGCAATACCACAGCCAGGGGAATGAACCTCTCCACTATTTTTCCTGCTCATTTGCAAAGTACAGATGACTAGACCAAAATGATAAGAAGAAATAACGTAGGTAGTGTCTGAACCACATCAGTTAGTGTACAGAAAACCAACTGTGTCTTCCTCCAAGTAACTCTGCATAAACATACGTTCCACTGCTGGTGTTCCAAAAGCAGTTTTTATTGCTGTTGGCAGGTCATCACAAGCCAGCAGAACAATGCCTTTGTAGGCATATTTTCCAAAGTCTGCATCAGCTAGGAAATCTGGACCTATTCTAGCAAGTCTAACAAAAGCATGTTTGGAAGACAACTGGGCTGCTTACAGCCCTTCAGAATAGAAATATAGCTGGGAAAACCAGAAACCCTGTTGGTGCTCCTAGGAGCAGGGGAGCAGGGTTTTTTTGTTCACTTGTTTAACCAGGGAGGGTAACTCTTTCAATCCAGTGGATCTGATAACAGGATAAAATCCAATGGCTACTGGCTGTACTAAGGTTGACTACCCATGTTCATTATGTATTTGTAACTATAAATCTATCCACTGATATTTAAAACATATATAAACATATACACGCACCAGCAATCTTCAAGAGGAGGCAGCAGGCAGAAAATCTGTCACAGAAGGAGGCACATTTCTGACTGAACTCAAGCTTTCACCCGTCCTGACAGACTGTCAGGCATTTCTCATCCCGCCTGTTGAGGAGTATATATATATATATACACCCTATTCATGGCAATACAGTTGGGAGCACAAGCTCCAACAAATGTCTTGCACTCTCAGTGGATTCCAACATGTTGATACTAGAATAAACAGATCTGTGGCAAACAAGGTATACAAGAACACTGTGGCAATAAAAGCCTCATCTGGAAACTGACTCTAGCATTTACCAAAAAATCCTGAGTTGAAGGACTTTCTTGCCAGGAGATTACATGCTCTTCTCACAGATGGGCACTCAGAAAGTGCCAACCTTCTGTCTCTTCAGCTGACTGCCAGATCTCCTCATCGACTCTGTACAGGTAGCTCACACAGTCCTGGTACAGACATCTAGCATTCATCCTGATCACCAGCTTCTGTTGGGCAAGGGTGCAGTGCAGTGCTTATATTTCCACAAAGACGTCATGTGGCACAAAAGAAGTGAAAGTGGAGAACTGAACAACTGAAGTCTACGTCAGATGTATTTGGGTGGGTAGAAAGGCATGTTACCCCAGTCTACCTTTGGTCTGGCCTTTGAACTGAACACCCCTCGGTGCCTGCATTCCTAGACAGCATTTTCCAGCTTAGTTTCATCTGAAATAAATTCAGTTAATGAGTTCTAAGACAGGTCTCTATTACGAGAGAAAACGTGACAAACAGAGATTATCAGGAGACTTTCTTCCAAAAAGCATCACTGATCTGAACTCAAACGCTCTGGCAGATGAAACTAGCTTGGCTTATGAATCAAATCCAGGAAGTGACAAGATGTAAACAGCAGAGTGTCCTGGCACCTGGCACAAAGCTTTTCCCAAGTGTTTCCCAAGACTGACTTGAGAAAGAGAAAACTGTTTTCCAAAAAAGGCAGAACAAATCAAGAGGGATGAATTTCACAACGTGCATAGGAAGACTCAGCAGAGACCATGACACAGCACAACCTGGGATATCAGATCTCTAATAATTACAGTTACTGTGTGAGTAAGTGTGTGTGCTCTGGCTAAACTGATAGATGAGAAATTAGTGAGAAAAGAGTCAGCACATGAACTCCTTTTGCATACATGCCTCTGCTGGTCAAAACTGGCAGCATTAATTTGAGCACAAACAGATAGTGAGTATCTGATCACAGAACTGTCTTGCAGCATCCCCCAAGG